AAGATTTCCAAAAAAAAAAAAAAAATGGATACTCGAATTTTCCAAAATTTTTCCCCCTCGATAGGAATCAATTTCCCAACGAGATACCATTTCCAGCCGGCAAGTGGCGCCGGTGTGAAATGAAAACTGACAAACTGCGGGATGGTCGGTTAATAGGAACGCGATATCGCGTCACGCGGAGAGACGAGGGGTCGATCTGTGGGGGCGAGGGTTGATACATGACGACAAGCTAGAAGTGCGCGCTATTTTACAGTGCTTGTTTGACGAGAGGGTGTGTAAATACCTCGTACAAAGATTCTTGTGAAAGCTTTATCGGATTGCGTACGAAATAAATTTAATCGAAAGGACAATTTAAATGAATATAAATTATCGAATAATGGAAAGTAATGAATGGCATAAATTAAAATAAGAATATTTATATATATATAAAATATATATGGTGATGAAAAATTTGCAAAATCGTGAAATACGAAATGGAAATGAAAATTTTCAATTCCAGTTTCGTTTCACCCTTCAACTTGTCGAGTTCAATAATCGAGCAAATAAATTGCAGAAAACACAAATTGCATCGAGATTAATATCCCATATATAACGTGGACGGGTATGATGATCGAGGTATATTTGCGCCATGTTGCAGAGGACGAGCACCAATCTATGGGGTGAGTGGATGGGCGTATTGCACGGTGACGAGGTGGAGTACGTGTTCGGCCATCCCCTGAACAAGTCTCTCAAGTACAGCGACAAAGAACGAGATCTGTCCTTGAGGATGATACTCTACTTCTCCGAATTCGCCTATTTGGGGTAAGTTCACTCTTTTCTCTTTCTTTCTTGCCCGCCAAAAGAAAAAAAATTTATTTTTATTATGGGAGAGAGAGACGGTGATGGACATTGGTTGTACACGTTGCTCGTGAAATAATATCGAACGAGTGGGATTGTTTTCACTGAATCAAAGTGCACATATTGCGCGGCTATATAACGGAAATGGGGAGGGAAAATATTGTTTAAGAAAACAGAATTCTTCCTTCTTGTCTCTCTCTCTCTCTCGAAATGAGAGTATCTCGTTATCAATTGATATCGTCTTCGCGATGATTTTGAAAATTTTGAAGAAATCTTAATTTGCATGCGTTTCGTTACAATTTGGAGAAAATTAAATGGAAGATTCGATGGTTTTTTGAAATAAGAATTAAAAGGGAAAATAATACGCCTGGGGCGATAAATTTATCGTTAAAGATTTGAATCAGACTCGTCTGGTGAGGTTAGTAGTAGTAGTTGTTATCTGGCATCGTTCGCTGCATTCATAATCTAACTCTTGATCTATGTAGAATTCCAAGTTTGAAAAATAAGGTTGTGCAAGGGAAGAGGGGGAAGGGTAAAAAATTCATAGAAATTTATTAGACTGTCCCCTTCGACCTATTTCTAGACCGTAAACCACACAGGAGTCCTCCATCATAGAAATTTTCTGGAAACGCTGGAAATGTCTAAAAAAATAAACGAACTCTTCCATCATCGAAATTTTCTGGAAATGCTCAAAAATCCAGAAAGGAGAAGATTCCAAATAACGTTATAAGCCTATAGATACAGTACTTTTCTCTCTCTCTCTCTTTCTCTTTCTATAATGATCAATCAAATTTTCCAAAAACCAAAATCTTTTATCTCAAAAAACGTTTCAAAGAAAAAGCTTTCAAGAACAATATCGAATCCACAGACCAATATCTCTCTTTACAAACATAAATATATTCAAAAATTTTAATATCCTTTATGGAAACACAATAATCTAACCAACTTGTAGAAAAGAACAGGTTAGGTTAGGTTAGGTTAACGGAGAAATATATTTTTAATTTTAATTTATCACATTCGCATAATTCGAACAGTGATTCAAAAAGCTATAAGAATAAAATAGACGAGACGACACAAGTATATAATATCGATCTCCAAAAAAGAAAAGAAAAGGAAAAAAAAGAATATTAAAAATTCCTCTCCTCATTCGCATTGGGAGACACTGACTTATAAATCGACGAGAGTCAATTTCGCTCTTAACGAAATGAAATTATATTGATCGTCGCGTCTTGTTTGCACCGTGCCCCGTTTCTGTTGACCCGGCACACGGATTTTACGAAGCTGCATTATTATCGTCCAGGTTGCGTAGGATTGCACGCAATAGATCCGGAAGATGTATTGGACGGGTAAAGCCTATAAAGTGTGATCAAAGTGATGGCCGCGTAAGGTGTATCACGCGGCGGGGACGTGTCCCTATAAATAAATTAAACCGTGGCCATTTCGCGAGGATGGTTTACTTAACGGGATAAGAATCGGGCGATATTTCATTCCGCGTGGGATTAACCGGCCGTAAATCAATGTCCGCTCGAATCGGGCGGGGCAAGGCAAATTTATCGCGATTTAACGCGTTCCTCGC